CCTGCTGGCGCTGTGGCGGCGCCTGCCCGCGCGGCACGCGTCGCCGGCCTGCGCCGCGTGGCCGCCGTGCCCCTGCCCGCGGCTGCTGGGCCGCGCCGACGCGCTGCTGCGCCAGCTGCACCACCGCTGGCGCTGCCTGCTGTTCCGGCGCGCCTTCGACCAGACGCAGCGCAACCGCATGCGCGAGAAGGTGACGGCCAGCGTGCTGTTCAAGGGCCGCAAGGCGCTGTACGCGCGCAGCGTGCCGCACCCGTTCGTGGGCGACTACGTGCGCCTGCGCGCGTCGGGCTCGTGGCGCCGCGGGCTGGGCGCGCCGCAGGCCGCCGACCGCTACGTGGTGTTCGCCGACGTGGTGCGCAAGCTGCGCGCGCAGGGCGCGGGCGGCGCCCGCCGGCTGCTGGCCGTGCTGTCCACGCACGCGCTGCTGCTGCTGGACGCGCGCTCGCTGCGCCTGCGCCGCCGCGTGCCCGCGCACCAGGTGTACCGCCTGTCGCTGTCGCCCTTCGCCGACGACCTGCTGCTGGTGCACGTGCGAGCGGTGAGCGCCGCCCGCCGCCCGCCGCCCGTGGCCGCCCCGACGCCGCCCCGACGCCGCCCCGACGCCGCCCGTCTGCCGCAGGGCGGCGCGCCGGAGAGCTCGACGGAGGAGCTGTCGCAGTGCTCGTCGCGCGAGGCGGCCGAGGCGGCCGGCTGCCTCTTCGGCGAGGGCGCGCGGCGCCGCGGCGACCTGGCGCTGCGCTCGTGCCACGTGCTGGAGCTGGCCACCAAGCTGTTCCTGGTGGTGCAGAACGCCTGCGGCGCGCCGCCGCACGTCACCGTGGCGCCGCAGTTCGAGGCCAGCCTCGGCGGCCAGCCCGTGGCCGTGGCCTTCCACGCGCCGCCCGACGCGCCGCACGAGTCGCGCTCGCCGCGCCTGCTGCGCCGCGGCAGCCGCCTCGACGTGCTGCTGTGACCGCGGCGCCGGCGGGCGCCCGAAGCCCCGCAGGGCCCGGTCCGCAGTCGCCCGGCCGGACGCGACGCGAGCCGGCTCATGTGTTCATCTACCTGTTAATTAGTTGTAAACGCGCGACGCCTCGGGGCAGCGCAGTAGGCGAGTTCGGTGCGCCTTCAGCGCGAATTGCAATGAAGTAATCCGACGACGTTTCGTCTTTTCTCTTTCTGTTATTAGCCAAAAACGGTTATTCTTTTTGCAAAGTAAGAGTACTAGAGATGACCGCGATTAATATTTCCTATGAAGGCGGAAGGCCCGAGCTGTCCGATGTGCCGTCTGTTCCGTAATTCCGAGGTCCAGTCCAAAAGTACATAACGTTGTTTATATAGTATATATTTGTAGGTATTACTTGGGTGTGTCTAACGTGCGCTGGATGATACTTCGGATGACATTTCCGCGAATTGATTAATGCAACACGGAACGAGTTGTTAACACCCGAAGGCACCCCACGAGGTGTTACCCGCAAACGTATACCTAAATAGACGCCGCAAGTGTACCACCTAATTCGCGTGCCCAATGTAGCTTACAAACACTTATTTGCCGCGGCTACGCTTCAGAATGCGCCCGGCTATTATCGTAGTTAAATGTCGGTCATACCAGTGCATGACTGACATTTAAGTGCAGAAATATTGAAAAATGCTACAGCTACAAGTAGATAAACAAATAAAGAGATGTTGCCTTCCACAGTTTGTGACAAGAAAATGCATAATTTATTTTAAAATCAATTAATTTCATTTTGAATAAACTTCGAGAAATGGAATATGCAAACGAATGTATGCCGCATTATTTATTTATTTTAGGAAGGTTTACAGCTATAAGTTAAAGATGGTGTATCTAAACAATATAAAAAAGCCTATTACAAACCTCCACATTTGGATATCAAAATTACAAACCAATAAGTAATGCTGATCTTACTTACATTTTTATAGTTTAAAGCAGTCATAAAATTTTTTTTTTCTTCTACAAAGAAGGAGGCAAACGAGCCGACGAGTCACTTGATGAGAGGTGGTCATCGTCGCCCATAGACATTTGCAACATCAGATGAGCTGCCTATGCGTTGCCAGCCTTTCGAGAACCCTGTAAACACGCTTTTGAAGAACCCCATGTCATAGCGCAGAGGGAACACTTCAGGAGGAAGATCATTCCACATCTTGCAGGTTCGAGGAAGGAACGAACGAGGTCCCCGTGTGGTCTTACAATGCCAGACATCTAAGATGTGGGGATGGACTCTACTCCTTTGGCGGGAGGTGCGATGGTAGAAACGAGACGGTGGCACCAGTTCGAAAAGTTCCTCAGAGCACTCCCCATTATAAAGTCGGTAGAACACACGCAGAGAGCCAACGTCTCTCCGTAAGCTAAGGAGCTCCATACCGTCTGTGAGTTTGGGATCATCGATAATACGAACAGCCCTACGTTGGACAGAGTCAAGTGGATCAAGCTGGTATTTGGGAGCTCCTGCCCTTCCATCTTGCCAATCAATATCCATATGTATATAATTGTTTGTAATACATTGCGGCTTTTACATGGTGCGGTACACTAGCGATCCTTCTTTAGTAGTCACTGAACATCGAATCACCGTGGTACGGCCGCTTCGTCGTGTTTTTTTTTATAAATTTTCACCCATTTATTTGGGTAGACGAAACTTCGTCCCGTTTTTGTCAAATTTTACGATTAGTGATGTTCAATTGATGTAACACGGTCCTGAGTTTCTGATTCTGATCGATTTAGGAAACAAAGGGATGATAATTCTTAAAACTTTAGAAAATGTTATAAAAATATTAAAGTTTGTTGTTTTTTTTTTTAGTTTTCCGGAGCAACTTTTTTTTTGAAAACACGTATTAATAAAGGACTTAATTATCTTATTCTGATATTTTTTGAGCACATTAATATTTTACGGCTTCTTATAATCAACAAATATTTGAAAAATCATTACTCTTAACACGTGCTGCGTCCGCGTCTTCGATTTAATCAATCGCTTTAGTGCCGAAGGAGGTTTATCACTAAACCACAATCACGTCGCGGTACTTGCGGCGTCTATTTAGATATATGCCTGTGGTGTCGCCCTACTGCGAGATTTACCGAAACCCGTCAAGTTCTGTATTCTATGAGTTAATCTGTATTCATTCCATTATTGTGAACAAATCGAACAGTATCTAATATTATTTATTGAGTTTTTTTTGTGAAATTACTAGCTTTTTCTGTGTGTTCCATCTTTGTATCATAACAAAACTAATGGAGATATTTCACAAGTTTCTCAATAAATACATTTGATCGAAAGCGACATCTGCGTCAGTTGTGATACCTGTAAAAGTATCGGGTGCGGCGAGGAGGTTATCCAAAAATCTCTCTCTAGATGTCACTAGCGGCGACGAATGCCGAAAGTCAGGACAAAGATCTATAAAAAAAAACAAGAGAACATCTAGTATATAACCAGAAATAGAGGCGAAATAAGTGCCATATATTCCTGGTAACACATTAGCGATACAGCTCTTATAAATATCAACTCTGGTTTGCACTGAAATATAGACAGGCCAACTACTGACCTGTATGTACGTCTAAGTGTATTCCAAAAAATATTCTGTATTTATTGTAATAAAGATAATATCTCTAACAATGCCGTGCTGTTCCATTCGGTGGTGTGGGGAAAAACTGCAAAACATCTAATTACAAAACAAACAAAATCAAATGTCATCGGTAATTAAATATTAAATAGGTAATTTCGCAATGGTCTATTTCAAGTGAAACAGTTGACGACACCCATAATTATAGTCAATGACGACACCCGTCAATTATTTCGAACTCGGGCTGGCCAATCGGAGCGCAGTTGTCACAGTAATTATATGGCAGAAGTTTTTAAATAAATTAAATGACATTTCGTCTCTATTTCTGGTTATATACTCGATGTAAGAGAATTTCGACGACTCGGTGACTGGCCCAGTAGCTCATGTGGTTAGAGCAATGCTACGGTGCAGCATGGACATGGGTTCAAGTCCCGCCGGGAAGACGAACATTTTTCTGTGTGTTCGACCTTTGTATTTATATCATAGTATCCAATATTTTTTACAGAGTTACCTGACGCGTCGCCATTTTGTTTCCAAACTACAAAGAGCTTAAGGTCCACGACACGTGGGGTGTTAACGGTATGTTCTCGCTTTATACTCGCGGCACAATTTAACGAAGGTGTACAATCGCAAGACGCCAAAATGTGAAGGAACCAAGCAAGCGATGATATGTCACCACGTGAAGTTAGTTTTGTCGGAGCACGAAATCGACACGCCGCGCACCGTCGTCGCCGCACAATTTTGTTTCCCCTTCAAAGGTTTCCAATTACATATTGTAAAACAAAATTGATCACAGTGTATAACCTCGTGCACTTACAATGCATGAATTACAACTTCGATACCGTGCTGAACTCGACCAATAAACTTTTACTAATAGAATACAGAGCACTTATATACAATTAGATATACAATTAATTTCATTCAAGCAAGCCATCATTACTAGAACCACCTGCGAGGTGAGGGACAGTGAATGGACGCGCTTTGTCTAGACCATAGGGTCCCAAACTTTTTGGCTCACCGTCCACTTAGGCAAGATAACGCCCACCTCCACTAAAACAATTGAAAACAAGACATAACGTATTATTTATATCTCTATTATATCAACTTAAACTTGTTTTCAAATCTTGAATAGTTCTTTAATTCCTTGGCCTCGTCATTCTCATTTTGTTTCGTTTCGTCATCACTCTCTTAATCGCCGAAGCGAGAACTGACCAAAAATCTCCTGTGCGATAAACATTTAAAAAGATCACAAAAAAACTTTAAAATATTTTCTATAAAATCGGTTGTATATCCACTATTTCTTTTTCCTTTTGAATTTTGAACTTAAAACTCGCTTGGCAAGATGTGTGGAGGCTGCGGAGGCTACATTACAATGTACAGGACATGCTTAATCGGCGCCAGCAATGCGTAGCACGCGCTTCATCCTACCGCCCCTCTAGGACTCTTCAGCACCCACCGGGGGCGGTTGGGACCACTCGGAAACTATGGTCTAGATTAGATAGGGACATTGGGAGGCGGTTGGCGTGGGCGGTGCGGGCGGTCCGGGTGGTCGTGCTTTTCTGTTCTTAACAATGTCAAAGAAATTCGTTAAGTTTAAAAGTTAGTGAATTAAGTAATAATTATTAAGAACATGTTTCATCGTTTCCAATAAAATTTATGAAAAGTTCCATTAACTTTCAATTTCCTTCTTTTATCTTTAATTTGTTTTTTTATATATATCTTAATTAATTTATAAAAAAAAAATATTAATTCATTTTGTCAGGCCGTTTCAATCCCAATTAGAAAAACTGCCTGAAACACATTTTCACTTTCGAAATTATATGCGCTTTTTGAGTGATTTTTGTGAAACCTTTTTTTCGGTTTTAAGGTCTTAAACGCACAAAGTGCAAATAAGTAAAAAAAGAAGTCAATAATTATAAAATCAAATCAAGAGAAATAGAAAAAAAATTATAATGAATTTCTCATAAACTCAAAAAGTGCACAAAGCTTCTTGTTCACAAATGAACATTTTCTCTTCACTAGCTCGGAAACGCTTTCTAAGGTTTCAATACAAGCACTCCCGTCAAACAACAACTTTGCAGCCTTGCCTTGAATAATAGTAGAAATAGTAACTAAAAATGTAAATTGCCGGTGCACTATGTTTCGAAATGCCTTCAGCAGCTTGAGTTTGGTTGCCTCTCCCGATCGGCAACGGCATCTTTTCCGAGTCGAGGCGTCGAGGCGTATAATATTGCGGTTGGGCTACCCGATCGGATCGATTCCGACTTGAATTAAAATCAGATCGGACATTGCGAGTGAAGCTTAGCAAGGAAAGGATTACGTATTCTAAACGAAGAAATGAAGAGGAGTACCAGTTTTCAAACAAACACTTTTTTCACAATACTTTCAAACCCTAACTTA